TAGGTTAAGGCAAGAAGATCACAACTTAGGGCCAGGCTGGGCTGTACAAATGTCACAAAACCCAACAAAAAATAAAACAAAACAAACCAATCTTGAGATGACTCTTCTGAAATGCTGTAATTTAGAAGTCAGGTGTTTACTATTGAAATGCTGATTTTCTTGTTTTATCATGTATTAACATGATCATTAATGTGCTTGGTCTTTTCTGACTGACGATTTTAAGGTATCTTTTTCCTGTCCTGCCACTTTCACCTCAACTATTACATTTGAAACACGTTTTTCTAGAAAGCGTACAATTGGCTAGTGATTTAATCCACTTTGTGATTCCTTTTTAACTGCTGTATTTAATATAGTTACTAATTACTGATGCTGTGCTCTTGTTTGCTATTTCTGTTCTATTTCTTCCAGCCTCCTTATATAAGTTTCTAAGATTTTAGGGTTCCATTTCTATTTATTTACAGTGCTTTTGATGGTGTATCTTTTGTAGCCTTGGATGTGGTTGCTTTAAATTATATGTATTATGTATCAATATTAAGACATTATATCTTACCACATTTAGGTATTACTTCATATCTGTATATGTCTTATCACATTCACATATTTGTTCGTGTGTGTGCATCACAATCTACTAGTGTGACCATTTCCCCTGTTCATTCCCACTTACATTCCTTTTCCCTCTCTCATTTACAATACGACTGGCTTGCTTTTTCTAAATCTGTATGGAAAAACATTATACTTGTTTTTTGCTTCCATCCTCCAACTTAATTCAGAAAAATAAAGAGATAAAGAAGGAAAATTTCTCTATTTTCACTTTTTCTATTCCTATTCCTTCTTGATGTTCTAGAATTCTCTTCTAGTTTGAGAATACCCTTTGGCTGTTTGTTTAGAGAGATAAGCTTCCCCAGCTCTTGTTCATCTAAGAATGTCTTGATTTCTCTTTCACTCTAGTGTATAGGTGCCAAGTTCCTCTCCTCCTCCAGCCCCTGAAGAGTCCTGAGCCCTGGGCCCTGCCATTCCTGCAGAGAAGTGAGCTGTTTCAGCTCAACTGCCTTATTTGTGCATATGTATCTGAGGTGTCATTTACCCTATTCCAGTGATTCAAGACTTCTGTGTTTAGTCTTCAGAAACTTGACCATAATATGCATTTTCTTTGTATTTGTTTGTTTGAGCTCACCTAGCTTCTTGTATTTGGCATTTTCCTGTACCAAATTTGGGGGAAATTTCAAACACCACTTCTTCCATCTTTTTCCCAAAATTCTGATGACCGATGTTAGATCTTTTGTAATTAGCCTCAATGCCCCTGAAGGTTTCTTTTCTTTTCTCCCAACTTTTTGGTCATTCATATTGGGTAATTTCTGTTTCCACCTCCAAGTTCACAAAGTCTTCTTCTCTTGCTTTCACTCTAATGTTGAGCAGCTGAGTCTATCTACTGCGCTACCTAATTTGACCGTTCATTCTTAAATTTAAAATTCTCTTTTTTGTATCGTCTCTTGTTTTGCTGATTTCACTTTTTCCTGAAACTTTCTATTTTACTATTTGTTTAAAGTGTGTTTATAACTGGTGACTGAACTGTTTTATAATGGGTGTATTCGTTCGTTCATTTGATAGGATCGCTATAGTATCCCAGGCTAGCCCCAAACTCTCAATCCTCCTTCCTTAGCCTCCTCAGCATTAGGAACACATGTGTGTACCACTGTGCTTGGCTATAATAGGATAATTCTAACACCTCTGCCATCTTCATTTTGACATATGCTGACTGTCATTTTTCATTCAACATGGGATCTTTCTGCTTCTTGGCACAAAAAAAATCTATATTATCTATCTATCTATCTATCTCTATCTATCAATTTGTCTATCATCTATCTACCTATCATCTATCAATTAATCATCTATATATCTGGTTGTATGTCTATATCTATGAATGATACTGGGGATTAAACCTAGGGCTTCACATGTGCAAGGAAAGTATCCAAGCACTGAGCTGTATCCCTAGCAATTTTTTTTTTTAATTTTGAAAGAGGGTATCAATAAGTTGCTAAGGCAGGCCTTGAACTTGAGATTCTCTTGCCTCAGCACACCCAGTAGCTGAATTCCAAGTCTGTATAAACAGGCCCAGTTAAGAAGTGATCTTTTTTTTTTTTTTTTTAATTAACATAGACATTCAAGGTATTATATAATTATAAAGCTCTGGATTTTATTTAAACCTCATGTAGCTGGCTCTCACGTGATACTGTTCCAGAGAGCAATAGGCAGTTGTAGGTTGGCCTCATCTGGCTTTCATTGCTGCTGGATGGGGAAGGAAAGCCTTGCCTCACCTTGTTGGGGAAGTTCATGCCAGCTCCTTACCAGGTCTTGCCTGATACCAGCATGGCTGGAAAGGGTAGAAAAATCTTGCCACTGCTCCCAGCTAAGTGCTCTGCCTATCGCCTCTACTACAGGAAGGTGGTGAAATCTTGACTCTCCTCTAAGCCTCCTTGGATAACACCCTAGTAGAGAAACAGGGTACCTCATTCTAGGTGGGGAAAGGGCAGCCCTGACCTGCCTTGCTACAGTCAACAGTTCATCTTTGGGAAAGCCTTTCTGACAGCAGTGCCTTGATAGGTTTGGGCTCCCTGTCAGACTATTAAGGAGAAATATCCACAGTCCCTCATGACCTGCGTTGCTGTCTGGAGTACAAGGGCTGTTCACTAAAAGCCTCCTGCTTGCTCCACCCCCTCCCCATCATTCAGCTAGAGAAAGCAGGTTTTTATTAGGACCATCTCTGTCTCTAGTTGCTGGCATTTCTGGGTTGCCGGTTTCTTATGCTCCAAGGCTAAGATAAATGAAGCAAAAAGAAAACTCCAGGAATGACCCACCGTGGTTCCTTTGATAGCTCTGGAGACAGTCAGCTTGATTAGCTCCTTTCAAAGGCCTCATACTTTCTAGTTTTCTACACAATGTGCAAGGTTTCTAAGTCTATGCTTGATCTTTAATGTTCTTTGCTAACATACAATATTTTAGATTTTCCTTAAAAATGTTATCTAGCAGTTTAGAGCTCATCAAGCCTGTAACACACACACACACACACACACACACACACACACACACACACACACAAAGATATATTCAACTGTAATTTAACTTAACTTGCTATATAACTCTAAGAAGTTCTTTTCAGATGAAAGACACTAGGAAATTTAGTCACCAGTATGTATGTATGTATGTATGTATGTATGTATTTATGTATGTATGTATATGTATGTGTGTGTAATTAGGCTAACATACAAATGGCATTTGAATATATGTATGTGTGTCATGTGAGATTACATAATAACTTTTTTTCCTGCAGTACTAGGGGTCAAATCCAGACTTTGCACACACTAGGTAAGAGCTCTACCATAGAACTACCTCCCCAATCTAAATGTTATATATAGCTAAAATCTATGTACCTGGTAGCTGAAGAAAAAATTCCATATTTGTCAGAGCTACATTTTTAAATATTAGGGCAGCAAAACTGGCCTCATGGCAGATAAAAGCTGGTTAACTTACAAAAGAGGCAGAAAACTGTATGCTTAGGCCAGTCATAGTTGGGGGTCTAGCATTTCACTGAATATCAGCAAGTTAAACTTTCGAGAATGTATCAGTTCAGTTCTGGGCAAAATGGTTCCTTCTTTTCAAAGAATCTGTGTTTGGCACGTTGTTGTGGATCAGGAAGGCCTCTGTCCTACTCCCCTTTTCTCAGCACCAGCCCAGCTAATGGACAGAATTGGGGAGGCAACTTGTTGCAAACTCTAAGTACAAATATCTGAACTTACAGCTGACACCCAGTTTACTTTTGATGATGTTGAAACTCCTCGGTGAAAATTGCAGGTGATGATAAAAATGTAAGAACAGCAGCAGTGATCGCTAATTATTACTCACACAAGGGTTTTACACCACTACCTCTAACTCCCAGGACAGTGTGACAAGGTAGGTAGTACACATTATACCCGCTTCATCCTTTCACAGATATGGAAAAGATGTGCAAAGAGGTAGATGCAAGTCTCCAAGGTCACACAGCTAGGAAGCGGAGAAAGCAAAGTGCTGATCGCTGTGCTTCTCAGACTCCCAGAAACAAGTGTTTTCTATATGAATTGTCCTCTCCCTCTGGCTAGAAAATATCAGTCTGTTGGTGTGGATCCACCCACTGGAGCCTGGTTAACCTACCAAGACTCTCACCAGTGAAAGAGACTGACTCTCCCCTTCCCAGCAGTCAATAGCGCCAATAGCTCCTCAGGTAGGGTTGGAGTTACTTACTTCCCACATCTGTGCTGGGATTTTGCCTCGCTTGAGCGTTCATGGCACTTGTGCATGCTGTCAGCACTGCTATGAGACATGTTTTTAAACTTGTATTCATATATCTTATACCATGCAACAAAATGAACTTAAACTGAACCATGGACCCAAACGCAAGTTGCAAAACTATAGTTTCTAAAAGAAATGTAACAGACAATCTCTAACTCTGTGTCAGGTGAATTCTTGCTAACATGATAAAAGCACACCCGCAAAGAAAAAAAAAAAAGCTAAACCAAATCATCCACAATCATTCTTTGAAGCACGAAGACAATGAAAACAAAAACAACACTTGAGAAAATATTTGCAAATCACAAACATAGTAAATTATGTCCAAAATATATAATGAAGTCTGAAAACCCAACAGTAAGAAAACTGCAATCCAGTTAAGAAAAATATGCAAAGAATTTGCTTTTTTAATGGCTAAATACATTGTTTATAATTATATACACTATGGTAGAGTTGTCTAACTCCTTTAGGAAATTATAGATCTATGCTTCCATAAACTCTTCCAACTGAATTGGGAATGATATGCATAAGAAGCCTTTTTGTATGAGCTTGTTAACGCTTAGAAAATAACAACATTGGTGTGTGATCAATTCTTTTGACCTATAGCTACCAGGGCAAGGAAAGGGAAAGGAAAAGAATGAGAAGGAAAAGCTCCAGGGAGAAAGAATGGTATACTTTACTCTATAAAATAGACTTCTCCATTTTCGGTATAGGCCATCTCCCAGTTTTCAGGTAGAGGACCTAAATTATCCTCTGCAGAAAGAGGTAGGTACTGAGGGAACTTCTGAGAAGGGTCCGTGATGGGAGCGGCGAGGACACTACTATTCACAGGCGGGAGCGTTGCTTCTTGGAGAGTGTGCTCTTCCTGGTCTCCAGAATCGGCTGTTCAATCAGGTACAAGAAAAAGAAAACAAACACAAAGCTGTTCAGCAACACGCAGCATGCCTGGGAGGTGCATGATGGATAACACATTCTTTTTCCTCCTTCTCGGAGTTCCCAGATCTTATTAGCACAATATTAATTATACATAATGGGTTTCATTATATTTTCATACATGTATATAATGTATTTTGATCTCTTGTTCCTCTCCTACTAATTAATTCCCTTTCTCTTTCCACCTAGACCCCTTCTACTCTTTCGCCCTTCTCTGACCCAGTGAGATTCATTAGGGTGTTTACAGAAGCATGCATGCCTTACTAGTGACTATGCGCCTGAAGAAAATGTCTTTACCTTCCCAACCTAGCCATCATTTATATCTAGATCCTCAGAGAGGGTGGGACCTCATGAACCCCTCTCTCTTCCGTGACATGGTGTTGTTGGGCCCAGGCTTACAGAGATCTTGTCCAGGTAATCACAGCTGCTATGAATTCAAGAGTGCAACAGCCATGTCGTGCCCAGAAGTCAGTGTTCACACTGCTCCCTGATATCTTTGAGCTCTTACATTCTTTCTGCCTCTTCTTTTGCAGCGTTCCCTGAGCCATAGAGAGGATGTTACAGATGCCCCATTTATGGTTAGGCAACAACAGTCACTTATTTTCTGCACTCTGAATCTCCCTGCTGAACACAGTGCAAAACTTCATAATAAAATATGTGCAAACTAAAATCAAGAACACATCAAAAAGATCTTCTGTTATGATAAAGTTGGCTTCATTCCAGAGAGGCAGAGATGGTTCAACATACAAAACCAGTAAGTGTATGATACCACACAAATGGACTCAAGGACAAAAATCACTTGATCATTTGAATGGATGTAAAAGGTCTTTGACAAAATGCAACATCTACCTTTTCTAATTACTGGCCATCCACTATGGCTTCTGTTTCACTTGGCTGCATGTTCTTTAAACAGAAAGCATCAGAAAGACCAAGAGCACCAAGGACAGCTGAGTGGTAGAGCACACACGGGCTTGGCACGTGCAAGGCCCTGGGTTCAATCTCTAGTACCAAAGAAACCACCAAAACAAAACAAAACCCAGCAAATTTTATTGTAATTAAGAAGAAAGAATCTTAAAAATACCAAAGTAACCACATTAAACTAACTCAAACCCTAAAGATGCTAATACTAACATACCCTCACAATGAACTGATTAAATTTCATTTTCATTTGGTTTCATGATTTTGAAAAAGAAAAAATTGTAAGATCAAATTGAACACACAGGCACAGTGGCATTTTTGTACATTTTGTATAAGTTATTAACACATTTTTTGATAGGCACTGGCAAAGATCAAAGACTGACAAATTAAGCTGGAAAGGATACAGAAGTTTAGATTATGAAGACAGCTATGCCAGTGAGTCAGAACTGAGACTCTTGGGAAACCAAGAGACTGTGAGAGGCGAGACAGTTACCCTAGAACAGCACCATGTGGGTGGACTGATATGACTTGGGTCTTAAAAGAAGGCTCTAAGTGCATGCGTCTCCTTTGCTTTCTTATTAACTAGAAACATCAAGGGTGGTGTCACCAAAGAATCTACAAACAACACTGGTGACATTCCAGATGAATTTTTAGAGAGGATGATGATATTAAATGTCATCTCCACGGAGCTTCAAAACACTATCAGGGGAGAGAGTCATTTTCTGTCTCGCAGTTATTACCTTCTAGAAATTTATGATAGTGACTCAGAATAGGGAATTTTCAAAGGCTGCTTTTGTAGCTGTCTGAGAAGAGTTCGTAGTGAGCTCAGCACTTGAGAAGGAAGGTTCTCCTAAAAGCGGATGGCAAACATGCCAAGTCTACAAGATGAGCAGCTCCTCCAGAACCTGGCACCACCGATGAGGCCACCTGTAGGTTTTCCCTGCCCTACATCTCTCACCTCTTAATCCAATACCATCATTAAGGCCCCTGTTTGGGAACCACCCCCTCCCTTCTAGGTCTGTGTGGTCCAGGTAGAAGCGGACACAAACTCACTCTTGGCTCCGAGTCACACTCTTTGCCATTAAAGAATGTTCTACCATTTCTACCTTTGTACTTGGTTCAGGAACAGGGACATGTGGCAAGGCTAGGAGCTAAAGGTCAGGTATGGAAGTTTTGATGGAACTCCAGAGCAAGTGGCAGCCTCTTGATGCTGGGCTAGTCAAGCTGATGGGCTCTTATGTTTCATGTGCTGGTGGCCATGTGAAATAGCTTAGCAAGACCTGATGAAGAGTGAAACTCACACAGAAGAAAGGAGAGACAAAAAGGATGAAATCTCCCCAAGATCCCCAAAGGAGTCTTTGATGTGATGCCTGAATCCTACGCTCTCCGACTGCTTCATGTCTCAGAGACACTTAGTTGCTCAAACCAATAAGGTGTACAACTTGTACTGAAAAGCACAGATTAGGAGAAGTTTAAAAGAAGAGAGAGGGAGTCGGGCCAACACAGAACCATTTGAAATTATTAACAGATACTAAAATGAGTTCCGAAATTAGCAAGAATGAAAAGATCCATTCTTGTTTTAGGAAAGTCAATACATAGTCCTTTCTGACATTGTTCCAGAAAGTATATCCTTCACACTGATGTGTGTCCAGAAACAACCAGAGAAGCTATTAAAATATGCCTCTGGCTCCTGGCTACAAAGAACAAGACTGAGGTAAAATTCTAAATAGAGATGTTTTTTTGAAAGCACTAAGTTGAGTAAGACTCAGATCATAGAAGAACTACATTTTGGGACAGTTGTCTAAAGAAAAGAAAGAAAAAACCGCATGAAGTGGCACACCAGTCGCTTACAACGTTGGTTTCCTGTGGGGTTTACTACAGTCTAGGTTTGGCACTTTGCAGAGTCACTAGAACCTCTGGATTCTCTAGAAGTTCTGCCCTGAAGCCAGTAGCCAGACAGTGGCAGACTCGGTACACAGTTCTCTATTCATGAAGCCACATCAAAGACACAAATGTGATGACTCTGCTTGGGGAGGGGGCGTGTAGAGATGGCTTCGTGCCACACAATTAGCACTCCAGAGAAAAGCAGACTTAGAATTGGATGCTTCTGGATTTTCAAGAAGGCATCTTTATTTTTATGAGAATTTACTAGTTTTTAAAATCATAATTCCTTTAAAAATAATGCAAAGGGGCATAAACAAAAATTGAAAGGTAGTTATTCATAAACAGTGACTCTAGAGCCGAATGGCCCAAGTCTGAATTCTGGCTCTACCATTTAATAAAGAGAAGCAAATACTTCACTGCTCTGTGCCTTGGTTTCTTCATTTGTAACTGGGAACAGTAGGTGTACCTACTTCATAGAGTGCCAGGAGAACTAAAGAGTTGATTTATATAAAGCACTCAGAACGTTAATGGCTTTTGTTTCCTATTGCTACGATAAAATACCCTGACAAAGGCAACTTACTGGAGGAAGGGTTTTCCTTAGGTCACGATTTCAGGTTACAGCCTATCACTGCAGGGAAGTCGCAATGGCAGGAGCTTGAAAGAAATGGTCACATTACCTCTACAGTAAGAGAGCAACTGATGCTATGCAGCTTATTCTCTCCTTTTAGATAGTCTAGCACCCAACCCAGAGAATGGCACTACCCACTTTCCATTGGGGCTTCCCAGAGTAATGAACATGATTACACAATTCCCCACAGACAAGTCCACATGCCAAAGTGATCTAGACAATCCCTTCCTGAGAATCTCTTCACAGGTGACTCTAGCTTCTGTCAAGCTGACCATTAAAACTAACTACCACAAGTTATCTAGCACATAGTAAAAACAACCCAGTAGTTGCTGTCATTGTCATCATTGTCATCAGCAATATTACTAAGCTTTGTCTTTAGAGCAGATGTGGCCCTCAGGGTGCCAACATTACAACAGGCAGAAAAAAAAAAAAAGATGAGTATGGCTTGAAACTACAGATCAAATCTTATGTGTGTGTATTTATAGGTATGTGACCTTGAAAGGAACTTTACCTTTCTGAGCATGCGTTTCCTTATCTGTGAAGTGGACACAATGACCAGGCCATGAGAACAGACTGTTTCTACAGACAGAAAGAGCTGAGCAAAAGGCCGGGCACCTACTGTGTGCTCAATGGGTGGTTGAGATCAGGACTAGAAATAAGAACATCCAAAGCCAGTGTTTACCTTTCATGCATGTGTGCATGCTATTTGAGATTGAACCTGGGGGCTTACACATATTAGACAAGTATTCTATCACCAAGCCACACCCAGCTGAATGCTTGTTTTTCTACTTGTCTGCCCAGTTTTAGAGACAAGGTCTCATAATGTTACTCAGGTTGGCTTTGAACACCTGAGCTTAAGAAAGTGCTCTGTCTCAGCCTCCAGAATGCCAGAGACTACAGGCATACTACAATCATGCTTAGCTTGTGTTCATCTTTTAATATGATATTTAAGAGGCAGTAAAATGTAAGGGCCATAACTAAAATTTTAAACTTTAATTAAACTATTTTCATAGAAACCACAATTTAAGTCAAACAGGTAGTGGCAATGTGTGGGCCCCATATATGAATTGAGAGCTGATTCAATTTAACATTAAGTGTACACAAGTCATGTCAAAAAGGGGGGAAAAGTCCAAGGGCTGGGAAAGCAGCTCAGTGACAGGGTAGTTGCCTGGTGTATGTGAGACCTTGGGTTCCATCACTAATACTGGAGAGAGAAAATATGACTTAAAGGGAATATTAATTTGGAAGAAAAATACCTAATTTTAATCTCTCAATCTCTCCCCCACTCCTTGCAACTCCCCTCACAGCCCCTCAGATGGGGACTAAACCCAAGACCTTATGCATACTAGGCAAGCACCTTATCAATGACCTATAGCCATTGCTGAACAATGTCACTTTCAGAAAGAAAATAGGCAGCCCAAAAGTGAGAGATTGGAGAACAGATACAGGGCAGACTCAAGAATTCATAGATTCAGTCATGGCTTTGACTTTGACACATACTTAGATTAAAAACAAAATACTGCATTTAATTTATAAAACATTTCGGAGCACTATTACCACTTTCTTACTAAAGTCTGCTAATAAATCCAAAGGGCACACGTCAAATGGAATGTTGTGATGAGCCCAGATAGGGGGATGGATGACTGGCTCTGTCACCCTGCAGAGTGTAGGACCTATGTTCTGTAGTGCTCCCATTTGTAAACTGGGACAGCCATACCTGGGTTGCTCATCTGGCAAGAGTTCTGGGAAATTTACAAAATATATATGAAAATGCCATGAAAATGCCTTCTAAACCATAAATGAACATGAGACTTTGGTCATGGTAAAACAGAAGATTCCAAATATTTATAGACAAATTGACACACAGACACACGGACTTTTGCAACTGCCTCTGAGAATACAAGTGCATGTTAAAAAGCCATTCCTGAGGCTTATCATAAACTGTCCTCGTCAGTTTTATATGCATATCACAATATACAAAATTTTTGAGGTTTATTAGAGCCAACAAAATTGCTTTAAAATAAACTGTGGGTCAGAATGGCCACTCTGACATACAACCCTGGGATTTGGTGATACTAGAGAAACTTTGTGATTTCCCTCGAGTGTGCATAGAGCTCAGAGAATGCCCTACCACACTCAGCACTAGAGAAACCTTCACCTAAGGAGTTTAGCATTGCTGTGCCTGCTAATGAAAAATAAGTGTCAGCCAGCTAAGGGTCAACAGCAATGGTAATTAACTGGGAGAAAGAGAGCCTCTCCAACTTGCAGTACATGGCCACATGCATCCCAGGACACCTATGAATGTAACCCAATACATTCGTAGAGGGCAATGTGTTAGTAAAGTTTAGACGTCTCTTGGATGCCATTATTCTATGAACAGATACTTTTTAGTTGTGGTGGCTTATTATACAGTTTGCAAATTGTCCATTCAGAACAAAATGCTGTGTGTGTGTGTGTGTGTGTGTGTGTGTGTGTGTGTGTCTGTGTGTGTGTATGTTGCAAGGGCACACAGGTATGTATGTGTTCACTTGTACCTATAGCTGTGACTGTACTTGAAGATCAAAAGAGGGGTTAGCTCTATCACCCTCTGTCTTTTTTTTTTTTTTTTGAGATGTGGTCTTTCACTGAATGGAGCTAAGTAGCAATCCTGTCTCTCCCTGTAGCAGCAATGGATTTACAGGTACAGTCAGCCATGCCCAGCTTTTTATGTGCCGCAGGAATCTGAACTGGGGTCCTCACGTTTGCATGGCAATCACTCTTACTCACTGATCTATCTCTCCAGCCCCCAAATCATTTTTAAAAGGCTTTTGGTTGGGGCTGGAGAGATGGCTCAGTGGTTAAGAGCACTGACTACTCTTGCAGAGGACCCAGGTTTGATTTCCAGCACCCACATGGTGGCTATGTTCTGTCCTTAACTCCAGTTCCAGGGGAATCTGAAGCCTTCTTCTGATCTCCAAGGCATTGCACGACTCGGGTGCACTCACATACATGCAGGCAATACCCTCATACACATAAAATAAAAATAATAAATAAAATATTTAAAAAAGCTTTTGGTTGTATAAATAACTGTATCTGTATTTTGGCCAACAATATAATTCTACCATCATTAAGCACATATAAGGAGTGCTTGCCCTCAGTGGCTCCTCTCAGAGCCGCAATCTAGGGACAATTTGTGGAAGATTGTCCCACTGCCTGATGTTTAATAATCAGTCCTCTGGTGAGTGTTCATTGCTGAGTTTCTGCCTCTATCATCACCTATCGGGGAAAACACAGGCTATGGCCCCAGCATGTATGTAGCCATCACAATCCCTGGGGGCCTGCTATAGGCTCAGTGTTACATAGGCATTATTATTGGACATGACTCCTTCAAAAGAGCCAAGAAAGAACCAAGTGTGGTAGTGCACACCTTCAATCCCAACATCAGAAGGCAAAGGCAGGTGGATCTCTGTGAGATCAAGGCCAGCCTGGTCTACATAGTGAGTTCCAGGCCAGCTGTGGCTACAGGGAAACCATGTCTCAAAAAGACCAATAAATAAATAAATGCTCTGGCAAATATAATTTTTAATGGGTACATAGTACTTCAACACTTTGATATGATTCTCATATCTTTTTCATAGGCAGCCTAAGCTGGAACCAAGGCCTCATTATGCTACTGTTACTTAAGAGCTATTAGCTCAGAGTGGCTGGTAGATTGCAACTTGAAGCAGTATAGAGTGCAAAAAGCCTTGACACAGTTCCTTTCACACATGTGTCACAGAATAGAAAGTGTTAGGTGCTGAAAGCATCAGTATGACAGAGCGCCCATGTTATGAATGGGCATTTATTCGATAGGACATCCTATCACATATACGCATCAAGGCTCTCCCCTCCCTTCTTCACTCCTGCTCCTTCATTCTGTTTTTTCTCTCCCTCTGCTTCTCTTCTTTACAATGCTTGGAATCATGCCCAGGGACTCCCTCATGCTAGACAGGTAGTATACCACTGAGCTATCCTCCCAGCCTAGCTTTTGTGGTTCACACTATTAGCCTTTTTGATACTGGAATAGGAGCTTAAAGAGCTCTATCAGCTACCAACTTAGTTTTCTGTTTTGTATAGAAACTAATGATAAGGCCAACTGAGGTTTTTAATAATTTTTATTATTTTTATTTCATGTGTATAAGTATACTGCCTGCATGAATATAAGTATACCCATGTGCAATGGCCACTGAGGTCAGAAGAGGGCATCAGATCCCCTGGAACTGGAGTTACAGATGGTTGTCAGCCACCATGTGGGTGCTGGGAATCAAACTCAGGTCCTCTGGAAGAGCAGCCAGTACTGTTAACAACTGAGCCATCTCTCCAGCCCCTGATAAGGCCAATTTTACCATTGATGAACTGGATTCACAAATGGTCCTTATAGGTCAAGATTTAAAGTGGGGATTATAATGAAGTCAATTTTCAGAGACATGGCTTCTAGCAACAGGAGTTTACAGAAGTTAGACACAGGAAACCCACCAAGATCTATAGCTGCTACCAGGGCTTTGCATTTGTTTTTAGCAAAAACACCACCTTAATATGTAATTGGAGGACAAGAAAAGGAACTCCAAGTTTCCTGGGGCTACTCCCTTTGCTGGTAGGGAGTAGCTTTGCATCGTTGAGTTGGCCTCCCAGGTCTTCTGTCACTGCAACCACATCTGTGCTGTGGGTTAGATCAGGATTTGCTATTCTTACCTACTGAACTACCAAGGCATTAAAAGTATTAGCTATTTTTATAAAGAATCTGTAACATTTTTTCATAACTGTTTTCATTTGGGTGAATACTACTATAAATGTGTGATATATTCCCAAGGAATGAAATCAGTTGATTCTAATAAAAGTATGCATAAAACCAGCAAATTTTACCAAGATATTGCAAGTAAAGGTCAGCCACTGGTTTTATCCCAGTTCTAAATGAAGAAAATGGAAGTTTTCACAGAAGTAGAAAGTCAGGAATGGTCTAATGTTAGTCATTTCACACAGCAACGGGACTAAGCATACTGTGAAAGGACAACTATGGAGAGCCAAGCGAGAACATCAGAAAGCTCCTTATCTACCCAGGACTTCTTGCAAAAGGGTTGAACTACACTGCTGCTAACAACAAAATCAGGAAGATTTTATTACCATCCTTTAGGTTTCTGACTTTAGTTTAATGATTGGCAAAACCTCAGAGAGGCCCAACAGGTGATTCAACGACAACAAACTTTTTCCTGAATATTCTATTAGACTTGGTGACACAGTGGCGGGAGGTCAGGACACAGACTGCTGAATCTTTCCACTCACTATGGCTAGGTCTAAGGAGGCGATGACAAAAGTCTGATGATATGAGAAAAGGAGAGAGGAAGATCTAATATTCTGAAAATGGATAGCTTGTCCACAGCTATAATTTTAAGAGAGCAAAGATAAAAATATAACTATAGGCAAAATGGAGGAAACAAGATGGTGTTCTAAGTCACCTAACAGACCCAAGCAACTCCATGTATGCTAATGGTCTTGTTTGTGACCAGGTATAAATTTGAAGCACACAATCAGGTATGTATACACTTACTACATTTTGATTTATGGCATCCAGATCAAATCCACATGCTATGAAAAAATATGCTCCACTGATTCAGAATATATAGCCAAACCTGTGGTCTGACACTGTCTGACTTATCTAGAGGCTTTGTCCTTGACCAGCGCTTCATAATAAACACTTTAGTAATAATCTATACTATGTAATATATCATTACATGCAATATAGAAACTTAGAATGTTTATTTTTCCATATTTCCCCCTTTAGGACTTACAGTGAATTTGCGTAAGTTAATTGAACACCTGATATTTTTCCATTTTATCTCTACTTAGGTGAGAGAGAAGAGGATGCTGGTTGCTCACTATGCAACAAGTGACATTAACCCGATAAAACACATTCTTTCATTCAAGATAATCAGTCCTGCTTATGGAAATGTCTTATGATCCACCCCCCCCAAAAAAAAAATTCAAGAAAGAAAAAATTCAACATATTGCAGCATTTTGAAGAGAAAGAAAATCAGGCTGAGATTTCTTTCTTGAATTTCAGGTCCAAGGAAAGGACTACCTCTTCCCCCAGCACCTTGCAGGTTAGAGTTTGAATTTAGGCAACTCTTTTGAAATCCAAATGAAAATAGTATACTTCTTTTTTGTAATGATTCCTACATCTCCCTTGGTGCATCCATTCAGAGGGACCCAGTCTGGCCTTACCTGTAAAACTACTGTTCATTTCAGGAACATCATCCTCCTCCTCGTTCTCCGCGTGGACTATGCCAGCATTTTGCATATCATTGTAGGACTTGGTTCGCTTTGGTGTGGACTGCTTGGAGCCAGACTGAAGGCTGTACAAGGCATCCGTAGTGATTACTTTCCCACTGACTGGCTGGCTGGGAGGTTTGGGTGTCCCATAATAGTTTCCTAGGTGATAGAGAGACACATTTGCATGTTTCAAAAAGAATACTTTTTCTGTTCAACAATTTATATCCAAATCTCTCAGTACGTGAAAAAATAAAGCTGGAAAACCAGAACACACTGAACTTCATTTCTGGAATGGCTGAAGAAAGGTATCTTTTCTATCTGGCTAGTTATGGTGTTGCAAAAAAGAAAAGAAAAGTCACATGGGTTGGGTCCAAAGAAGCTGGTAGGGATAAAAGCAACAGTGGCCATGCTGAATAGCAGAGCTTCATTGTCATCACATTTGAATTTCAATGGGTCATCCTTTTATATATAGGCACCCACATAATGCTGAATCTGGTTAAGAGTGATTCTCACAGAAAATAAAAATTCATTACTGCCAACATCCTCCCAAGCCTCAAAGGTTGAGGTCTCTTCCCTCTTCCAAGAGGGAACCAGGGCACTATTTTGAAAGGAAAGTAGTGAGCACCACGTGGCACCTCTTAAGCTGAATGGCAGGACTGACTGTCAGGGTCATGCTGGGTGGGAACCAGCCCTTGCCAAGTCAGAACAGAAAGCTATGACTCTGGTGGCCCCTCTGGGATCACTCTTCAAGTGATGGTCAACCTTTGCTTTCAGCCACCTTTACGTTCTCCCACAGTCTGGTTTAGGCCCCACTGTCTCTGCCATGCAATTCTGAATGGCACATGATATCAATTCTTTAATATTTAGATATGTGTATTCTTATTTGTGTGTCCATGCATCTGTTCATATATGTGTGAACATGTGTGTATGAGTGCTTGTACACTTACGTGCATGTGGCATGAAGAGGACAAGGGCCAACTTGGGGTCATTCCTCGGGTGTTATTCATCTAATTTTTTTGAGACAAGGTCTCTCCTTGACCTGGAGCTTGCAGATTTAGCTAGGCTGTCTCTACTTCTCCAGCCATCATGCCCTGCTTTCTTACATGAGTTCTGGGTATTAAACTCACACCCTCATGCTCCCATGACAAGCACTTTACCAACTATGTCCATAGCCCCATAAATATATATATATATATAAATATAAATATATAGTTAATATAGTACAGTATATTAAATTCTAACTACTAAATTCAATTAACTTTTCTGAGGGGGGGTCTTTTTGAGACAGGGTCTCCATAGCTCCAGCTCTCCAGCTGCCTAGAACTCACTAACACACACACACACACACACACACACACACACAAATGTTTTTTAAAAGATGACTTTTTTTTTTCCTGGTCTTTTTGAGACAAGGTTTCCCTGTAGCCCCAGCTGTCCTGAAACTTGCTATGTAGACCAGACTGGCCTTGAACTCCAGGCTGGCCTTGAACTCACAGAGATCCACCTGCCTCTGCCTCCCAAGTGCTGGGACTAAAGGTGTGCGCCATCATGCCCGGCTAAGATGGCTTATTTCTAACCACAAGCCTTAAAAGGTAGCTTCATATAATAAATTAATCAATGGAAGAAATGAGTGAAGGTAGTGATAAATTTCCTTTTGCAAATTTATGTTTAAAAGCAAGTGATTTTTGAGGTTTTCTTAAAACATCAATAATAAATGTGTCCCAATATGAAGAAATTCACAAGTAATTCATAACTAATCTGAATTTGAAATGCATGTTTTATAATCAGTGGTACTCAATGACTACATGATAAAAGCCACCATCAACAGAATGTAAAGATGGGAAGACAGGAAATGATGCCAGTCCACAAGCCATGTGCAAGCCTATGTTCAGTAAACTAGAATTTATAAAATGAAAAGAATAACCAATCTAACATACATTGCTTATTCACAATAATTCTGTTTTGATGGGTGGCCTTAGTACTGAGTTATATAGCATATACATTTTTATATAAGCATCAGAAAAATAAAAATGAAAAAGAGATCCAAAGTTGGTCCTCCTGAGATAAAGAATGTTTCCACTATGCTTTTCCCTTATAACTACAATTTCTTTTCTTCCCTTAAGTACTGTCTTCAAGAGGCAGCTGAGAACACCAGCATGCTGACCTCACAGATCATTATGACAATTAAATACTAGATTTTCTGAAGGAACGTCATCAACCAGAAGTTAAGAGTATGGTGTGCCATTGGTGCTAAAATCTTTCTGATGTTTCTCAGTTTCCATATGTTAACCTCCATAGAAAACTTTCTATCTAGAGGGTTCTAACTGTTGAGGGTTCAAATTTTTCCTTCGGAGGTATATGTGGGGTTTTCATTCCCCACATACCATTTTTAAATAATTTGAATTAGTGTCATCACTTAAAACTGGAATATTTCTAATTAAAACCCGGCTCTGAGGACCATGAGACCAACTATAAAATCTAGTCCCCCAGACTCCATCCCCCGAGGCAATGCCAATAAACAAGTGCATGTTTAAAGCCAATGAGCCAACACACTCAGTGCACCCAGATTTTCTGCAGAGAATGTTCACCCTTACTCTTGGTATTGGTCTTTCCACACAAACACCTTGGACCCAATTCCAGGGCAGTAACTTAAGGCTTCTGTGGTGCAAAAATACATGCAGATAAAGGCAGATATCAGAGGGATGGGCAAGGATGTACAAAAACCTAGAACTCCCAAGAATCCTCAATAGTTCACAGGTTGGGTTTTTATAATGAACTGATTTTAGATGCATCTATTTTGGTGCTGGGCTTTTTGATCATTAAGAGAATGATCTCTGTGAACTGCCTTTTCCATGCAACCACAGACAGGGTGGGTCATGTACACAGTACCACAGCCGCCCAAGGACTCCATCGTCTGTACCTAGTGCCGTGGGATTTAAGATCACAGCTCCTACCTTCTTCCTTTTAGAAGTCTCTACCATATCAAGAGTTATCATAAGCAAGCCAAGGCTAGCACAAACCTCACAGAGAACATGCAGCATGTACAAGAGGCTCTGTGTGAAGGACACAAATCATTTTAGGAATTACAAATGATTAAAAATTAATTAAGGTTATCACTTGGCAGGCTGCATGGTTTTTATGAGCCATGAGCCTGGCTGTCCCACCATCTCTATGTTGCCTAACATATACTTCCTGAGGTGCCTGGGCTTCCGCCCAAGTGAGAATATGTTCCTCTTTGCTATTTTCAGAACTGGTTCTCCAATAAAACTCAACAGGGATGGAGGTGAGAGAGGGAAAGTGAAGCGAGGACAAGGGAAGGCAAAGCTGGCCTTAAGTAACAGACAGAATCTACGGTCATGACCAAGCCAAAGAAAATACTTTCTGACTTAACTCATAAATTAATGAGGGCTGCAAAACATTTTTAGAGCTTTATAAAATATTTAAGGAAGACCATAACCCTGGATTTTAAGTAAGAATGAATCAAATCTGTATTGCTTCTCTACTCACACAAAGTTACCACTTCATCCATTTCTTTGCAGAGAATCCTGATCCCAGGCACTACACTGTGGACTAGAAATAAGGTACAAATGGAAGTCCAACTTGATCGCCACAATCATTCTATATAGCAAATACCAGTTTTCCTGAACTTCAATGTGTAAACCATGTAAGTACATGTGCTGTAAGTACAAGTTGTCACCTTGACACACCTGGGTTGAGGGAGCCTCGATTGAGGAATTGCCTCCATTGGACTGGCTTGTGGCCATGTCTGTGGGGCATCTTCTTGATTGTTGAGTGATCTGGAAGGGCCCAGCCCACTGTGGGTGGTGCCACCCCTTGGCAGGTTTATCTGTTTTGTAAAAGAAAACAGGTTGAGCATGGGCCAGGGGAGTGAACTAGTAAGCAGTGTTCCTCCATGGCCTGTGCTTCAGCTCCTGCCTCCAGGTTCCTGCCCTGAGTTCCTACCTTGGGCTCCCTCAGTGATGAACTGTGACCTGGGAGATGTAAGCCAAATAAACCTTTTCTCTTTAAGCTGGTATTGGTCAGTGTTTTGTCACAGCAATGGAGAAACAAACTAGAACAGTACATTAAATACAAATGCCGATTCTGTAGGTCAGGGAAGGCCTGACTATATAGAGTTCCACCAAGTATATACGAGTTCTGCGGCTGCCTCCTCAGGGTCACATTCCACAGAGAAAAGCATTCCCTGTTGTAGAAGAGGAGCACAGAAGGCCAGAGTAGCAGAAATGCTTCTTGTAGGACCCCATTGCTAGTTCAGGCAAAAGGAGTTTGGGTACTGGGACATCCTTTTCCGTCTTCTTAGAGGGTAAACTTCTGAAAATAAGCGAGAGGCCAGGACACAAGTGGTAATCGCAGATGGAATTCTAGGCATAACATTTCCAAAAAGGGTCATTTCTCCTTTTAGAAGGAGTGTTTACACAGTCTGAACTCTCCTGTACAAAGTATAGATAGATGTGTACCTCAAGAACACAGACATCCAGCTCCTCTAGTTTTCCTTTGGCCCCAGGGCCTGAGAGCTCCAGCCCTGCCCACTCTCTAGCCTTGTCTTCAGCGGGCTTCCGTGTGCTTTCTCTGACTTCATAGGTCTTTGTTTGGTACCCCCTTGAATGGGGCCCCTCTTCATTTCATGGCTCTTGTACCCACTCCTCCCTCTGGCCTTCATTCCATTCCTACTGCTGGTCTTAGGGGACAATGTCTTTGGTCAAAGCTCTACTGAGCTCTGCCTTGTTAACAGGGAAGCACACACCTATCCCATTCTAAGGTATTTTGCTACATTTATTGGGCTGTTTAATTAATTAATATTGGTCCTCACTTCTGGGCAACGGGCCCCATGTGGCAGTGGCCAGGACTAGTTTGGGGTACCTCTGTATTTTTCCAAGGCCAACAGAGTCACTTAGGTACACACTGTCACTCAGTAATTCTTTGCAGAACATATTCATGAACAAGCAGAGACAACACACACAGGCCCTAGCCTGGGCTCCTCCTAGATACCAGTTCTGTGGATCCAGTTTTTAATGACATGTCTTACAGCATTTCTTTCCACTCCGTCAGTCACATCTGATTCACTGGGTATCTGTGCAACTTTCATGACTCCCATGACTTTCGCTCTCCTCCTCCTTTTCCTGTGCACCCCACCCTTT